AAGTGCATGGAAGAATTTTTCCATTCGAAGAATATTGAACGATCGTTCAAGACGCATGCGTAAAGGTAACGAGACTTGTTTACCGCCTAAAAACACAAAATATTGTAATAAGACTACAGCCCAATTTAACATTTTACAAAGTTATAAATTTTAGTGGATTTTTTATGGATCCTTTCACGCAGGACTACATAAATATTCAATATAACAATGTTAAACCCACTTAGTTAACTTCACTAGTTATTAAGTGGCCGTTAATTTTTGTTTATCATTATCTTCAGTCTTTTAGGAGACAGGCTGGGATCTAGAGAAATCTCGATGAAAATGATGGATTATCAGACGGAGAAGAATAAAAGAATAGCGTTACGCATTATCCCTTGTCCTTGTGTGCCGGATCACTTAACATCAATGATGAAGAAACATTTTTTTTCAAAGTAACAGGTTAGTTGAAGTTCACGAGTTTCTGTTTCTAATTCAAAGCTAAGATCTAATAAATGGTATATTAGATCTTAGTTCAAAGAAAGACAAAGGGTATCTAACAGTATCTTTATTGTATACCACGCATCCAAGGAATTCCTGAAAATACTGGAGGAATGCGAACACAGTATTTACTACATGTATGTAACATCCTGAAGAATAGTATCCATACAATTGCAAGCGAAAACGTACACAAAATGTCCCTTAAAAGATAACATTTATTATTGCCCAGGCTGTTCGTAAAAAATACATCAAAGTTATACAGCTGTCTCAAGACTATGGCCCATGAGGCATATACAAAGAAACGAGGCTGTTTGCATGCCAAACATATATCTGTTTAAATTTCTTTCAAAGACAGCTTCTAAACATCTCAGTATTCTTAACAAGAAAGAGACTGAAATGACGTATAATCTACAGCCAAAACGTGTTTTTGAGACAACATTTTAAGACTGTCTGATATGAAATGCCTTTGGGTCCAGATCCGTTTAGCGTTCGTCCATGTGTACTTGCTTTTATTTTGAATATAATCAAACAAGTTACTAGATTTTCATATGACATTAAACACAAAATTTTCATAGAATGTATACGCCAAAATATGTTTCTGACTTGTAATAAAAGCAGGTCAGGTACTATTTGACACACAAGGAAAGTTTTTGTCTAATCTGCCAAGTGTCCCTTTGATGTTGACAGCATATGAGTCCTGTATTGCACACTTAGTCCTGTCATCCAGAATTTCAGCACCTGTTTGTCTTCTTCCTGGGCCCCAAGCACTTGCAGCAGTCTTCTTGTTTCTTCCTCTGAGCGAGGACCTTCAGCTTTAGTAAACTTGAACACCACTTTCACTTTGCTGCAAGAAAAATAAGGAAATATCTATGACATGACAAAATCTTTTAAACACATATTTGAGACTGGGCCTCTTAAGATATTCTGGACTCCAACAGTGTTGCCACTTATCCTCTCCAGTGATGACAAATTAGGGTTTGCATCTGATGAGAGAACATTGAAAGATAAAGCTTTTGCCAGAGACTTAGTGTTTATTCATTTATTTATTTATTGATTGATTGATTGATAGATATTACATATCAGTACATTTGGAAAAGTTTAAGGTTATGTCTAAGAGTTTGACACTGCATAACACTGATGAAAATAGCCCTTTGCTACAGGGTGGTGGGGGGAGAAGGCAAGGGTAGTGTCAGGGGAAAAATATCATCCTTTAACCTATTTATTTATTTATTTATTTTTGCATATTTGTACAAACTCCCCACATTCATACGACAGCTTTGTTCTTGTAGCTATCAGCTTTTATGTACACTGCACTGATATGCACATCCGATGTAATAATTTAAAAAGGAATATTTACTGTTGCACACACAAAGGCACACACACAATATCTAAATGAACATAACTTTTCTGTTACTTACTTCATCCATTCTTCCTTATGGCACACCAGACATTGCTCCACCACAGTATATTTGAGGCTGTCATTTAAAATGGCTTTCTCCATCTTGGACAGCACAGTCGGAACTAAAAGAAAAATTATGGAATATATAAATATATCATGTGAACTCTTGTACTACAGAAATAACCCCAAACGTTTTTCAACTGAAACCTTATCCGGTTTTCATTACCTAAATTTTTAGTTTGACAAATACTTATATCTATGTTGTATTTGACAGGTAGACTTTTAATCACACTTGCACAGTGTGTCTAAAGTGCATAATTCATAACTGCACAGGCCCTATAGAAAAAAGTTGTTTGTGGACTCAAGCCTCAAGCTTGGAAATTGTGATGCCAAATAACGACTGAAATTTCATGGCAAGAACATAAAAAAAGTGGTCACGAGCATTTCGTTAATCTGCTTACTTGTCCATTCGGTACTTTAGGTAAGTGCCAGAGATTGTCAAGAGTGCATTGCTCCCATATTAAAAATAGGTCAGGGTAAAAAAAAAAAGAACCCGATATTATGTATAGCAGCTTAGACCTGGATGAAAGCTGGCCAAATTTTTACCTCTTTTATGTGGCGCTGCCAACCATTATTTTACGTTTGCACCATGAAATTGCAGTTTGAGAAATAAATTTTGAGTTGGCAATCACAAATACATGGCTTGTGATAAAAAAAAACGTAATTATTGTTTATGAGGCTGGTTTCACCTCACCTCTTTCTGGAAGTGCTGCAGCTGTTGTCAGTTCAAAATGATACCCCACAAAATCATCCCAGTCTGGTTGTGCATCTTTAGTGATTTCTGGGCCTTTGATGTCCAACATTGCATACAGATCAGACTCCTCTATGTGCTTTGGCAAAATGACTTTTGGACTTAAACCCAAGAAGTTGCATCTCCATGAATCCTCATATTCATTGCTGTATGAGATAACACGGCAACATCCCTTGGGCAACAAAGCCTGAAAATGAGGAATGAAGACCAAAAAAGATTCATTTCACAATAGAACAAGTGGTATTAAGTGTCTATCTGATGTTAAGACTTTTGCCAATAACCTTTTGTTGTCATGAATTTATTTTTCTGTTTCTACGGTGCACTAAATTATATATATTTGTAGCTTTAATAAAATAAAAAGGAAACTTAAGTTCACTATTTTGGCATATTCAAATTGCCTTTGTTGATATTTCGAAAAAAAAAAACTTACTTTCAAGCAATCGATGACAGATTTTACCATTGCCTTTGCATTGCCTCTGATAATAATTTGATTTCCTATCACCACATTGTAGGCAAGAGTGTGGAACTTCAGTGTACCTATTACCTGAAATGGCAGAAAAGAAAGAGATGGGGGAATAGTCTTTATCATACTTAAGTAGTAGTTAATCCAATAAGTCTTATATAATGATTATCATAAGTACACAATCGTTGTGCTCAGCATTTTGTGGTTGTGTAAAAAAAATTTGTACTACTTTAATTCCCACCATGTTAATGATATGATTGAAAAAAAAAATGATAAAATAATCATTGTAGTATAGAATTCTTCAGCTTTTTCTTGCAAGCTGCAAAATACCCCCCCCCCCCCAAAAAAAAAAAAAAAAAAAAAAAAAAAAAAAAAAAAAAAAAAAAAACTATTATCATCAATACTTACCTTTAATAAATGTCTTAGATTTTTAAAAGTTGGAGCTCCAGGGTTTTGATCAACTGGGGACTCAGGCCCGCTGTCAACACCTGCACCAGCAACGCTGGGCAGTGAGTCCAGTTTTTTGGTATACACCATAGTGAAACCTTCTTCAGTTTCTGATTATTTCATGGAAAATAAAATGGCACAGTTTTGAAAATTCTCAAAAATTAATGTTCATTCAATCTGGTAAGAATTACTACAAATCATTTTTCACAAATGAGCCCAAAGATTGTACATTTTGGTATATTTTAATATCCACACATTTAATAATGAGTAAACAAATGACCATCTAGTTTTTGTTTTTGCTTCAGCTGACAGTTTATTCACATTATGTTGACGTAAAGAATGTAGGACAAAAAGTGATTTTTCTTTAAATCTCTAACATTTCTACCCATTATCCCTATTTCCCTGGAGATCCAACTTACCTTCTTGTTTTTCTAAATCAATAATCGAGTCTTCCGTTGGGGGTCCTTCTAAGAGTTTTTCAGTCATTCTGCTTCCTCCTGCCTTCAGTATCCAAGTAAACGACATGTGTATATTTTTGAAAAGGTTCTTATCATTAGTTAACTCAATCAAAGGCCGCACAGACTTTGATCCACCACCTCCTTTCTGTTTTAAAAACTCAGCCGCAGTCATGCTCATTTTGCTCAGTGACAGTCTTTGAACTCTTGGTGGGCATTTTGCTTCCTCTTTGTCATACACTTTACTGGCCTTCTCCTGCAGTCTGTCTATCACCTTTTTCATACAGGACACCAAGAAAGGCCAGGAGTTCAGGAGAAATATCTTATCCATCATCACGACTATGATGCTGTACCACCTCTGTAATCCTCTGGCTTGAGTGTCTTTCAAGTAAAAGGTGTAGCTCAAGACATGTCCATTTTGGTCATCACCAAAGAATATTGGGCCTTCTCTGCCAGGGCATACCTAAAAATGACAAAACAGCTACAAACATGTTCACTTTTTTTCAACTGCATGATATCACAGTCAAAACCCATCCCCTTATTATCTAATACATTAATCTGAACAATGGAGAAGACAAAAAGGCTATGTTAGGTAATTCAGCTTAGGGACAGTGTAGATGAGTATTGTTACACTTGCATGTACTGTACATATACTATATACTACTGTACACGTGCTGTGTACTACTGTGTATATGAACATACCTCACAGCTCAGGCTCCGAACACATGCCTGCCTCACCATACTGAAAACCTGTTGTTGAGCTGGATGTTGACTGCTGACATAACTCACTTTATCTTCATGATCATTGCTTATGTAGCCAGAGTGACCTGTGGGAAGGGACCTACAAGCCTAAATGTACAAAACAATATGAAAAATATGGTAATTTCACAAATCTACCATAAGTATGTGTTTTCTGCTGAAACAGATACTTGTAGTGGTTAACAAATGGAAAACAAAGTTTTTATTGTGATTTTTGTTATATTTCAAAACATACAGTAATTACAGGATGAAATAAGAACAATCCTATTGAGTGATAGCAACCAAACAAAAAAGAGGCTACTTTATAGTTATATTCTATACAGTAAAATATTTACCAATGTCATACAGAAATATACTTGTGATTACAAAATAATGTATCTTAAAGTTTGGTAATTTTTGCCCATTGAAAAGATCGAGTAATTACCATATCTAGATGACATAAATGCATCTTGATATTACCTTCCAAATATAATAGCATTTTTCAACCCAGAATTTATAATGTTTACTTGCCTACACTGCAAGTGTTGCAAATAAAGATCCCTGACTGAAAGGGAAGTCTCACTTGTTATTTTTGATAAAGAGAGAGAGAGAGAGAGAGAGAGAGAGAGAGAGAGAGAGAGAGAGATATGGACCCTCTCTTGACATAGTGCACTAGTGATAACTACAAAAAAGCTCCTTACTTCGCAACTTCCAGAAAGCTTGTGTGTAGCCTGATCCCCACCACCTGTTGGGGTAGAGGGTGACTGCAGGCGCTGTGGGATATAGTAAGAGCCACTGTCGGTCAAACTAGCAGAGCAGTTTTGATCATGATCTATAATCTGCTGAGGGCTGTTCTCTGCATGGAAAGCCTGTGTGCAAAACAGGACACTTGGCCCATGGATTTCACAGAAATGGCATAAGGAGATAATGGCATTCATCTCTGTGTTTGGTTCTTCAAACCCACCACTTCTCTTCAGTTCCCTAAGAAGTAAAATGCAATATGTATTTACTGTAAGTGTAATTACTAAGAAAGAAACGCATCCCCATTCAGTAGCGATTTTGGCCGATTTAGCAAGTTTTTTTAACGATCAATAAACCGATCAAGATGACTTGACCAGTACTACCAGTGGCATTTTTGTCAATCAACTTTGATGACGGCTAAAAATCATTATAAAATATGCTCAGAGGGAGAGAGAGAGAGAGAGAGACGATGGTAACATATATAATGCCTGACAGAATGTATTTCATTTAATTTATCTGATTTAAATCAGTAAGAACTTACTTGATCCGACATACCTAGTTTTGTTTTTGCTGTCATGTGATTCTTAGTTTACTTCCGGTTACTGATAATTATATACGCGTGAAAATATTGGCTTGCAAAGCCACCTTATCAAACGCGCGAATATTTACATTGGAAGGAAAAGGCCTAAGCTGTCTGACATTTCAGTATTTTACAGGTTAAAGCCTTTGCCTCTAAATCCGACCAATAAAGAATAACTTAAATAAACACCAAAGGGTATTGTTTTATATTTCCTGAAAATAATAAATGAACAGAGAATTCCTGCTTTCTTGCTGCACTATACATGTAAACTACATGTTGTATAATCCTTGTATAATTTGTTTTCGCCAAAACTGATATTGATAATTAGATCTTATTATGCTAACAGCAATGGATTATACATTGCTACATCATTTGGCAAACATTATGAATTGGAGGGATAGACAATTACGTCAAGTTTACAACCAGCCATTTTTTTGGCTAACTGGATTATTTAAATTATCCCTTAATTGGCATGTTGACCTTAGGGGGGTAATTAACTTTGTGCACACTTGCACCCCATTTCCATAGATTTTTAGATCGATCTATCCCTGTGGGGAGTCTCACTAGATTACTGTTAACTTGGCCGGCTTAAGCGCCTGTCCCGCCTATTAAAAGCTGTACGGGGGTAATTAACTATGGTGCGCGCTCGGCTGACTGCAATTCAGCGTGAACCCCCAGGGAGTTAGGTCTATCTAAAACTTAATCTTTAGATCGATCTTAATCTCTGGGAAAGCACCCTTAAACTGAATACAATTTAGCCAGAAACTCCTCAGAGATAGATTGATCCCACTAGTACAGTAGGGTTATGGGAATGGTCCCTAAAAAGTAGTAGAAGTGGTTAAGTTATATGCACTATAGGGAATTAACTCATGTTTGCTTGATATGCAACTTTTATTTATACAAAAATTAACAAAATGTAATAAAAGAATGAATTTTCACATGAAGAGGTAAAAATGTATTACTGAATGGTTTTCAAGGGTAGTATTTTATTCAAACCAATAGTATGTGCAATTTAAAAGTTTTAAACAATCTTTACCACAGCATGTTTTATTTTTCTGTTTTCCTACTAGCCTAATTGTTCTTATATCTATTCAATATATTGTACTTGGTATACTGACATATGACAACCTGCCTCTTAAATATCTCTTTCTATTATAAGTATACTCCTTCTCATGACTAAATATATGAAATGACTTTGTATGATGTAAATACTCATACCTAGACTTTTTCAAGCAATATAACAAAAACTTATATTAAACCTTTTATAAGATATAATACCTACAGAACCCATAATATTAAATGAAACACTGACTTATTGTTTTATATTTTTAAAGAAAACATCAGAATGTGTACAAAAATATAAAATTATGTAAGTATTTAGAAAAGGTAAAAATTAGATTCATTTATATAAACAGACTGGTATTATCACAGACTTAAAGACAACATGAGATAGTAATTATCAACATTCTGATACATTTTTAATGCAGTTCTACAATGGACAACAGTATTTCATGCCCATAATGCATGTACATGGGCAACACATAAATTTGGAATGTCTTTCTCATACATGCACATACTCATCATGTGACTTTAAATAGATGACACTAACACGGCAGCACATGTAACACTGATTAAGGGTCTGAAATACATAAAGACAACTGAGATGTCTAAGGACCACGATATTTTTTCAATTTTACATAAAGACACGTACATTCATATTATGATTTATCTTTAACCTTTTGCTATATATATGTACCATCTTCCTGCTGTACATTTGTATAGACATGACTTTTCACCTGAACGGCAATAATCATTGTTAATTTTCTTTTTGATTTAATTTACATAAGCACCTAGTTAAAATAGGTTCAATAGGCTCTATTCCCATAGATTTTAGATCGATCTATCCCCACGGGGAGTCTCACTAGATTACTTTCAGATAATCCGACTTAAATGTCTGTCCCGCCTACTACAAGCTGTAAGAGGGTAATTAACTTTCGTGTCCGCCCGGCTGATAGCTATTTAGCATGAACCCCCAGGGAGTTAGGTCGATCTTAAGTAGGTCGATCTAATCTATGGAAATGGGGTGTTAGTCTCATGATCTCTAAAACAATCCCAATATGACCTTAAGTTTGACTCTGATTGCACAGTTAACTTGTTCTTCAAGTACTTTCAAACATGACAGTTCTATTTTCTGGAAACAGTTCTCTTTCAATTTTTCCATCCGATTCATCCTCAGCAAACCACTGGCTACATGGGAATTCATACTGATCACAGTAGGGAACTTTTGATGGTGTCTCCTCTTCTGTCTCATCTTCTGAATCTGAATCACTTTTTCTTCTTTCATTTTTACCTTTCCTATTACTCCTGTTCTTGGACAATTTCCTGGAAAATGGGTTGTCTTCATTAACATCGTCTTCACTGTCTGATGAATCTTTTGACTTCCTTTTATTCTTCTTTCCTTTATTATTCTTTGTTCGTCTCAACAACCTTTCATGATCAGAATCTTCAGATTCTGAAGTCTCTCCTCTATGCTTTTTCTTGTGTTTTTTCTTTGGCTTCTCTTCTTCTTCTTCACTTTCTTCCTCCAGATCCTTTCTCCCCAAAAATCTGTCCAGAAATGAGCTTTGTTTAGAGGATTTACCAAACACACCATAATTAGAAAGCACAGACTTTTCTGATTTTTCTTTTGGTTTCTTTTTCTTTGCAGACTCAGAATCAGATGAATCTGATGACGAACTGTTGAGGATCTTGTTTTTCTTTTTTGACTTGTTAGATCTTTTTGAATCCTCTAAATCTGACTCTTCTGAATCTGATTTGTCCTCCTTTTTCTTGGGGCTTGGTTTCCTTGCTTTATGCTTTTCCATGACCTCCCTATCTTGTTTCTCACTTCTTTTCATTTTTGATAGCCTATCTGCAATCTCCTCCTTTGTCAACATTTTTTGAATGACAACCTGCAACAGAATAAACCAATACAATATTTTGTCTAGTCTTCACTTTTTTGTAGCAATACCAGAAGGTACAGAGCCCATATCACCTACCATACATCAGTGTTCAGTAGGAGATTTAATTTTCATGCAATTAAAAACTGACGAAATGTCTTGTTCATGCTCATTATAGAGAAGAGTAATTATTATTATTTATTTAATAATAATTATTATTATTTATTATTATTATTTATTTAGTAGTAAGTAGTTTAACTCAAAGGGGTATGGAGCTGACTGTCAGTCACAGTGTATTCAACATTACCTTGTCCAGGTACCAGCCAGCAGCAAATCCTTCGTTGTTATGGCCAATTAAAATCTTCTTGATAATTCCAACATTGGGAGCAGATAACTGAACATGAAACAGAAAATAATCATTCAACACATATGACCAGAGCAAAGCCATAATTTAGTAATGAAAAAATTGAAAATACGGCTTTTTTAGTACAGTTTTCTGCTTTTTATTGCACTTAGTCTAGTTTGACTGATCCAAACATGCACTAATTCCATGCTAGCTGAGGTGGTGGGAGTTACTTACTTTCGCAAGTACTAATCAAAATTAATCAAGTTACTTGACTGTGTCAAGAACAAGGTCTCAGTTTAGGTGATCCTTTTATATAATAGCCACCATATTAAGTTTCACAATTTTTCAAAATGGAGCAAAAGAAAAAGTGTACAGCACAATGTGAAATAGGCATAAGATATGAAGTCTCTAATCATAATACTGGTGTGTATCAGATTATTATCACCGCCATCCCAGCCTTTCTTTCTTTTCACACTCTGGTTGTTTTAAACAATCAAGTTTGTTTTAATTCCGCATTGTATCTGATAAATAATTTAAGTTCATTTATTAAGTTACCTTAAAAATATCAGTTTGCCCACTCTCAAATGGATCCTTATTTGAAGCAGAACTGTCTAGGATAAGTTTCTCTGTGTTTAACCCCCTTCCAAATATTTGAACAAATACTTGGGCATTAGTTCCTGCACCCCTCTTTTTACCAGTTGTTACATGTACTGTATAGTCCACTTTAACTCTCTTCTTTGCGGCACCCTTTCCTAAAATTTCAATGTTCATAATTTGCAATCAGTCATAAATTATATAAGAATTAATTTTCATCTACTGTCATGTGCACATTGTTTCATATTGACTACATATAAGAGACAGCATAATTGTTCATGGAATTATACCATTAAACTTCTTAAAAATTTCATTTTTTACAGATTCTAGGAATTCTTTTTATATGCTCTCTTACCTTTCTGGATTTGAGTTCCTATTGGTGCATCTCCTTTGCCACTTGGCATAAGCTCCACCCAAATGTTATGGCCATCAAGCACTGACAACCACTTGCTGCAGGGGAATACATAGGAGATTCCCTCTACCACATCTTTCACTTCCACCTGAAACGATGTATGTTTACATGTATTTTTTAACCACTTTTTTACATGTATAATATTACTGCGGGTGCCAGTAACAGCAGTTTTTGTAAACATTTTCCTTTAATCATTTGGATGCAGAATTTGTATTCAACATTTTGGTATGGCTTTCGTTTTCTTAATTAATGTACCCAACATTGATGTTAAAAGGATAATCCCCCTCCCCCTCCTAAGGTGTGCCAATGATACAAGTGCTTACCTCTTTCAAAAACCAGTGTGGGTGATCACCACTCCCGTCATGTTCAATCCTAAAATAGAAAGCAGAATTTTCATTAAAATTACTGTACATAATAAACCAAGGTTTTCACTGTTTGCATAAGTATCTAATTGAGAAATGTGGTGAATTGTGTAGTAAAAAATCCTCATGATTTCATTTGGACCATACGCAATTAAAAAGTACTCAATATTTCAATTTTTTATCATTGATAAAAAGCCATACGTAAATGGCTACTTTTAACAATGATTAATTGAGTTTGATACCTTGGACAAATTTAATCACTTAATGACATCAATTACAAACCTGATTTTATTTAATTCCCCCACGTCTTTAGTCTTGATATTGAAAGTGTCAGCACTGCCTTTTCTAAAGCATTTTTTGTCTGGA